GACATTTTTAATATTATTTTCTTCTTTTTTCCCACTGTGTCAATATTTTTAAAATGATTTTTTTATTCTTTTCCATTGTTTTGACATTTTTATTATTATTTTCTTTTTGTCGACATTTTTTATATTATTTTCTTATTCTTTCTCTTTGTGTCGACTTAATTTACATTATTTCCGTTTTTTCGAAATTTTTTATATTATTTTCTTATTCTTTTTCTTTGTGTCAAAGTTAGTTTTATTATTTTTGTTTTGTCGACATTTTTTATATTATTTTCTAATTCTTTCTCTTAGTGTCGACTTTATTTACATTATTTCTGATTTGTCGACATTTTTTATATTATTTTCTTATACTATCTCTTTTTGTCGACTTTATTTACATTATTTCTGATTTGTCGACATTTTTTATATTATTTTCTTATTCTTTCTCTTAGTGTCGACTTTATTTATATAATTTCTGTTTTGTCGACTTTTTTATATTATTTTCTTATTCTTTCTCTTTGTGTCGACTTTATTTATATTATTTCCGTTTGTGTCGACATTTTAAATATTATCTTCTTTTTCTTTCTCTTTGTGTCGACTTTATTTACATTATTTCTGTTTTGTCGACATTTTTTTTTATTATTTTCTTATTCTTTTTCTTTGTGTCGAAGTTAAATTTTAATATTTCTGTTTTGTCGACATTTTTTATATTATTTTCATATTTTTTTTCTTTGTGTCGACTTTATTTATATTATTTCCGTTTTGTCGACATTTTAATATTATTTTCTTTTTGTCGACATTTAAAATTTTCTTTTCCTATTCTGTCTCTTTGTGTCGACATTATTTACATTATTTCTGTTGTCGACATTTTTTTTATTATTTTCTTATTCTTTTTCTTTGAGTCGACTTTATTTATATTATTTCCGTTTTTCGACATTTTAAATATTATCTTCTTTTTCTTTCTCTTTGTGTCGACTTTATTTACATTATTTCTGTTTTGTCGACATTTTTTTATTTGACATTTAAATTTTTGTTGTTGCAAATTTATCAAATTTCTTTTTATTTCCCTGCCCCCTCTCCTCTGTATCCTGTTTATACTTTCAAAAAACAAGTGTCATTCAACTAAAATTTAATTAAAATTTTGCTTTGATACTAATTCAATAAGTTTTAAGTACCCCACTCTTCCCTCCCCCTTTTCTCATTCGTGTCAGAATAGGGTGACATATAAGTAAATCCATATTTTCCACAAACTTTTTTCTCAAAAAACATAGTTTAACGTTTATTTTAATTTAAACAAGACTCGTTAAACTTAGGTTTGAAATTATATATGATTTCAATTATAACTCCTCTTATATTTAAAATATATTGAATAGAACAAAAAGTTTTGAATTTCTAATATGCAACAAAATCAAAACTAAAGGAGCTACGAGGTCACAAAGCCGTACGAGTGATGTCGCATACATTTTACCATCTCCTGTCTAGTTTGCTGTCAAGATTCTTCCCCCCTTCTCCTCCCTTGATGAACTAAATGTTATGTTTGGAAAATGTTTGTTTACTTGTGCTGAAAAATATAAAAACATGTAAACATACTTTACTCACTTACATGCTGACTTATGTACAATGTATATACATCACATACTATACTCACTTACATGCTGACTTATGTACAACGTATATACATCACATACTATACTCACTTACATGCTGACTTATGTACAATGTATATACATAACCCTCTTTGCTTTGATCCCCACCCACTTCTAACAATAGTTCACAAACTGTTATCTTTGGAGGGGGGTTGGGGTGGGGTGGGGGTTAGGTACTTATCACCTAATTCATTTGTACCATTATATATATTACGCATAGGGAATATGGAGAGGTATAAAGTACAGGGTGAATATAAATAATTATCTTGGTGATAATTTCTGTGGCAAAGAACAAAATAGTGTTTAACATTAAATTCATAAAAAAAGAATTGATAAAATAAATGTTGGTATTAATTATAATATAATTTTTTATTAAATTATCTGGCCCCATCTTCAACTTTCACACCTTGCTGATGTTTGTTAGGAGTAAATATAATGATTAAATATTAGTAATTATTGGGCGATAATATTCATGTTAAATCATTATACAAATATTAGAATCAATATTTCAATTAAACACTCAACACTCAACACTCAACACTCAACACTCAACACTCAACACTCAACACTCTACATACAATGATCCCATCCTACTCCAACTTTCCAATGCTAAAACAATTAATTTTTTTAAAGTATCAATAAAATTGACATTATTTTAGAAGTCCGAGTTATCATGTTGTTTACACAACTGTGTTTACTTAGTAAACCAATTTTTAATGTTTTGGTTACATGTGTTCCGTGTTTGTTACATTTTTTCGCATTTATTTGTACTGACAAATCTACAACATTGTATCTGTATTTTTTTCTTGTTTGTATCTGTATCTTTTATCTTCTTTGTATCTCTATCTCTGTATCACTGGATCTATGTATCTCGAAATTCTACTTTAGTTTAAATTGGATTCTGCACAGATTTCTGTATAAGTAGCTATTCAGCAAAATCATTTATCTTTCCATTTTTTGAAAATTTTTAAAAATAATGATTTCTAGCTGAAATGTCAGCCCATTCGGTTTAGCCGTTTGGCCATCTATAGCTGACACATAAATATACATGAGCAAAGAGCTATATTTTATAGATATTACACTTCTTCAATTCATAACAAAAACTACAGAAGGAGAACACCACACTGTAGTCTGTTTTTTTGGTAGTGCTTTGATGAGCAATGAAATGAAAACTTATTTTAAACACGATTACTAATACTATCATAAAAATGTTTAATAAAACTCATAAAACCTTAAAATGTTGTTTTAAAAATGCAATTGATATTACATTTGAGTTCGTGTTTGGGTCTAGAAAATCAGTTGTTCATTACTCCTAGATCAGTTAACAAGCCATCTTCGGTTAGATTTAATATATTCAGAGCGTCCCATATCACACTGGATTTATCTCCAAACGCTAACGCCAAAATACGCACAACTTGTATTTTCTACATTCAAATTTGTGTTTTCACCTTATACAATTCATTCTTTTTAAATTTTCTGATTAGTCCCGAAAATCGAGCTTTAAACGATCCAATATGATGTAGGACAACAAAATGTTTATTTGCAGAATTGCTTATCACATACATAAAAACTAGTTAATGTTCAGAGTTGTTGCGGAAAATTCAAAATATATGTTGAATATGAATATGATATACTCTTATAATTTGTATTCTGACGTATTCTATTTTCAGATTGGGTTTTCGGAAACATCAGAGAAGAGAGAAAAATCAAAAAATGTGATTTTACTTTTGAAAGTGATTTGTTATTCTATAAAATTGGATGAACCACGGATCACCAATGATGATTCGCGGATTATTGCTGTAATCCGCTGACGGATCCGATTTGATCTGATTAGAATGAATTTTGCGGATTTCTGTTAAATGATGAGTTGGCGGGTTCTAATTCTCCTTCTCTACTTTTCACCCTCATCAGGTGTTCGTCGTCTCGTGGGAGAATTCGTCCACAATGCCGGGACGAATCTTTCCCACCTGGCGGTGGACGATTTGTCCGAGCAGATATATGTGGCCGGGACGAATATTCTTTACCAGCTGGACGATAGTCTCAGGGTGAGGCATCGTGTAGAAACAGGTAAAATAGGTTCAGTCATTTTTAGGGTTTGTAGACGTCATTTGAAGTGATGCGCCATTTATAGGGTACCTTGTCCGATTCACCTCGGTACCCTGAAAAGCTTAGTCTGATCGAGGATGATTGTAATATCCATGTTTTTAAACATTTTAAAATGACTTGCGGATTCGTGTTACAAAGAGAATGGAGGAAATGTTCAGAAATAAACACTTTCAATACAGAAAAGGATCCCTTGTGAGTTTTGCATGTACCTTTTTATAATGAGTGTCACTTGAAATAACTCTAACAGTCTCTTTAATATTCCTCTAAAATTCTCTTGTGTTTGTCGTTTATATTTCCTCGGATTTAAATTAGGAATTTTCCAAATTGAAATATAATATTTCAATATTTAAGGACGCTCTGGCCAAATTTAAGATTAAAATTGGTTAAAATTTAAATTTGGGAAAATAATGATTTCCAAGTTTTTCTACCTTGTTGTATAAACTTGACACCAACCTTCATGTCAGCTCAAGCATTTTAAATTGTTTTATTTATTTCTAGAAAATATCTCTCATGCATCTCTAGCTCTCTCCCTTCCTCTTTCCTTTTCCTCTTTACCTTTCCCCTTCCCTCTCCCCTTACTCTTTCCTCTTTTTCTCCCTTCTACTTCTGCCTTCCAAATCATACCTCCCTTTCCCCTCCTTTCTCCCTCATTTCGCCTCCTCTCCACAACTATCTCCTTCCTTCCCCCGCCTACACTTTTTTAATTCCCTCCCTCCTTTCCCTTTTCCCTCCCTCCTTTTCCTTTCCCCTCCCTCCTTTTCCTTCCCCCTCCCTCCTTTCCCTTTTCCCCTCCCTCCTTTCCCTTTCCCCTTTTTTCCTTTTTATTTCACAAATTGAATCCTTTCTGTTTCTGTTCACGTTCTGTTCTGCGCTTCATTATTATTTTCAAGATCTCTTCTGGCTGTAAAAATATTTTTACTACTCTTTCTTTTTTTACTATGGATACCACCTGCAGTTTGCACCCCGCGTACCATGATATCTTTATCCACGCCAAACTAAAGTAAATTACCATGATCTATATCTTTATCCACGCTAAACTAAAGTAAATTACATGGAAGATTGAAATTGATTTTAATCATAACTATGATTGAAGAGATATTAAGCAGAGTAAAAATGTTTTAAATTTCTTATATGTAACCGGAAAAATTTGCTCATGTCATGCTTGGCGTAAAATCTAAACTAGTGGAGCTATGAGGTCTGCTGGATGTATCACTTAGCTTCCTCTGCATATCGTACAGGGTTACCAACAGATTTCAGAGACGATTGTACGGAATTTGTTAAGTCGATTTCTTCCATTCAGGATTCCTTGTATAGGCCAAAACTGGCTTATTTCTGTTCTTAATAATTTTGTTAACCATCAATTGAATGCAAAAGCCAAACATCAAGCATCAGATATTATTAGAGTTTTGGGTCGTCTTTACAGTCTCATCCTTTGTGGGTAACCCTGTATAATCGAATATTCTCAATTTATCTTAATAATGCATAATCCTTCCTTCTTGTTAATCATCGTTTTATTTTCTCCTTATTTCCCTCACTCATGATCTTCAATCCCCCCTAATCCACCCTTCTATACTGTAATCTCTTTCTCTCTCCTTCCACTTTATTTAAAGCCGTACTTTATTTATATCATGTGTTTTAATTTATTTGAAGCCGATATGAAAGAAGTTGAGGGGGGGGGCACTATTATTAGTCCCAATCTTCCATTTGAACCTACTACTCCCCAATTTTTCTAGTTTTCTAAATACCTAAAAATAGACAAAAAATTCCTGTGAATCTTAACTTAAAAAAATTCTTTCGATAAACTCTTAAAATCCATACTTTCTTAATGTTTAAATCAAAGCTTTTCTAAAAAAAGGGCCTTGCCTTTTGATGCTGTCCATTTAGGTACCCCAAAAAATCTTTCCGTCATAATGGGATTTTTTTGCGGTGGGGGAATTTATTTTCTTTAAAAGTAAATACCCCTAATTTTTCGCACCCTCCATGTTTTCCCCATCCCTCTATCCTATATCTGTTCCCTCCCCCCCTGGGGAAAATGTAAAATTTCCCCTAATTATATTCTGCCAATTCTTGGGTTCATTATTCTTACCTAAATTGCATTTTCATTCCCTTCAAGGGTTTCCTTTAAATTCTCATTTCCTTTCTCATATATCCCCTTTCAGACTTTCATTTTCTTTTTCATTCTTTATCATAAATCCCCTTTCAAACTTTCATTTTTTTCATTCTTTCTCATATATCCCCTTTCAGACTTTCATATTCTTTTTTCATCCTTTCTCATATATCCCTTTCAGACTTTCATTTTCTTTTTTCATCCTTTCTCATATATCCCCTTTCAGACTTTCATTTTCTCTTTTCATCCTTTCTCATATATTCCCTTTCAGACTTTCATTTTCTTTTTTCATCCGTTCTCATATATCCCCTTTCAGACTTTCATTTTCTCTTTTCATCCTTTCTCATTTCTTCCCCGTTTCAGACTTTCATTTTCTTTTTCATTTTTTCTCAATTCTCCCCTTTCAGACTTTCATTTTCCTTTTTATTCTTTTTTTCCCTCCCCCTTTCATACGTTCATTTTCTCTTTTCATTCTTTCTCAATTCTCCCCTTTCAGACTTTCATTTTCCTTTTTATTCTTTCTTCCCCTTTCAGACTTTCATTTTCTATTTTCGTTCTTTCTTTTTTCTCCTCTTCGTCCTTTTTCACTTTCTCATATCTCCTCTTTTACTCTTTCATTTTATTCTTTTTCTCCATATACTCTTTCCTTAACTAATTTTTCCATTAATTATATACTTATTCATGTTCTCCCCTTTTTTCATTTTCTAATTTTATATGAATTGAATTGAACACTTTTAAAGCTATAAAAACAGCGATATCTTTCACATTATTTTACATCAGATAATGGTTCAAAGGGTTCCGTTGTGAATCGGTTTTGTCCTTCTGTAAATGGAAGGTTATTTAAAATTTCAAGGACAGTCCCATTAAATCCATCTTAATTCTGTAAATTCTGTCATTTTCAAATATTAGCTTTCATCAGTTAGATCCTCAATGTATAAAATGTTTTTATACTCCTAAGATAATTGATATCTTAAGAGAGAAAGCATGTGTTTAAAAATATATCATAATTTCATCAAGATATTTAAATTTTAATTAATTTATCATATCTGTAGAATTATCAAGATATAATGATATACATTCACAAATTATTAAACAGAAAATTGGGATTATGTTAATTTAGAAAAATTATTCAAAAAACGAAATGAATAAATTGAGACTTCAAAGACCCTTCCCTCTTCCTCTTAGTATTAATCCGGATCCTGAACATTTTAGCTTCCTTGATCCGGATCCACTACATTTTAGCTTTTTTGATCCGGATCCGCTTCATTTTAGCTTTCCTGATCCGGATCCGCTACTTTTTAGCTTCCTTGATCCGGATCCGCTACATTTTAGCTTCCTTGATCCGGATCCGCTAAATTTTAGCTTTCTTGATCCGAATCCGCTTCATTTTAGCTTCCTCGATCCGGATCCGCTACATTTAGCTTCCTTGGTCCGGCTACAAGTGACAAAATATCTACAAACACGCCAGAAAAAATTTGCGTTCAAATCACATTTTTTTTAAAATGTTGCCAACAGCGATAATCAAAACCTTTCTAATCATGTAATTAAGTTTCTGCAAATTTTTTTTTACATATTCTTCCCCCCCCCTCCTCTATTTCCTTATCTTGTTCACCTTTGGCTTCTTCTAGTTAGATTATATAAACATCTAGTTCTACACTACATTTCCCCCAGGCCATTTCTCTTCTCCCCCCCCCTTCTTAAATTCCCCCTGTTCA